CATCTCAGATGTGTGCTGTTGTGGAGACCCAGAGGGTTGGGAAGAGTCAAGAGTTCAATGCTCTTGAAGACCTTACCTGGATATCTTTACCTCAGGCCCATAATCCTTGCCTGTCAGTGCAGGAGACCTGATGGGGCTGTGAATTCAGCCTTTTCTGAACTTCTCTGCTCTTAGAGCAAGCCTGTCCTGTGGCTGTGAGAGAGAAATATCTGCAAACATTGCCCTAGGAGCCTTCCTACTCACATTTTGCCTTAAGTGGCTAATTGGCTAAACTGAGCCTATCATTTTCTCTCTTCTGTGCATCAATAACCCTTAGCGACAACCAAACAAATCCTCCAGTCCTTATAATTACTGTTTCTTCCATATTTACAAATGCCAGGGATCTCACAGAAGCCACTGCATCCCCTCAACCTGTCATCCATTCCAAGTCACTGCAGGTGAAATTCTTGGTAATTGCCATGCTGCTGCCTGCCAGAGGCCCTCAGTGCAAACTGAACACCAGAGATGGAGGCCTAGCTGCCATCTGGCGGGGGAGTGATCCAACTTCAGAATCACATCCCAGGCACTGCTGGCTTCCCTTTCTTCGCTCAATCACTAATTTTGGTGGGCTGTGGAGTGAATAGGTGGTGAGAAATTGCAGCAAGCTTGTCCTTGAAGGAAAAATGGGAAGTAGCATGGCAGATGAAGTCAATAAGAGCACGGTGTGGGAGAGAACTAATTAGGGTCACACTGGGAGAAGTCGGCCACCGAGAAAAGAGGGGAGAGTGCAAGGGTCTGTGTGGGTGAGAATAAACAGAATGCAGTGCTGATCAGGTGCTTTTTTCTTCCTTAAAAGGGATGGGAGGAATGAAATACGCACAGCTAAGCTTGTGGATGATAATAATATGTCATAACACTGATATTTATTGAAGCCCTTTGTGTGTTAGTAATAGTTCTAAATTCATGGGAAGAAATTAGTTTGCATTTAATAATACAAAAGACCCTTTTAAAACATTTCCTTCCAGGCCTTTGACAAATTCAGTATATTACAATGGGAAAAATAAGTGTTCAAATGCACTGTTTTCTTGCCACTAACAGCCATTTCCTTCTGCAGTTTTCTTATAAGAGTTAGAATTTGTATTTCTCACTCAAACATTTGAAAAAGACAGTCATAGGCATTCCTTACTGTTCCGTTCCTTTATCTACATTCCAACCCCTTTACTTTTAATTTGATGAGTGGGCCTAAAAATAAAAATCGGTTTGTAGATGGTGCGCTGAATATGTAATGAGAGTGGAGAGCTGTGAACATTGCTTTTCACAAGGCTTCTGGATTCAGGGGCCCAGCAGGCAGCGATTTATTGCAGTATAGTTGCTACAGAGATGTAAAAAAGGTGACGCTTTGCCCTGAGCAGAAAAAAAAAAAAAGAAGGGCAAAGTTAACAAGAAGCCATGTAGTTTCTCACTGTGGCAGATACAGATATTAAGAATCAGGAGTCAATCTGACAGGATGTGTACAGCCTGAGAGGTCTCTGGCAGATTTTGTGGTGACAGACACCAGGCACTGTTCTTCCTATAATCTCAAGCAGCTGCTTTTCACTAAGATGCTAGAAGTCCCCTATTTTGTGTCCATTGTTGAATGAATGATCTCATGATCATTGCAATGGAGTTGCTGTGTATTAAGATGATAGATGCTTTTATATACCTTGGGTATATGAGCTACTTTATAATCAGTGGCATCGCTGAGTTTGGGGCCGTAGATGGGTTTGGCAGTAGCATTCGATGTTGTAAGAATTAAATTTCCTCCAAGTTAAATGTTAGTTTAACAAAACAGGACTACCACCAGGTTACGATTTCCTCATTGATATTGTTAGTTATTTTTGAGAAAGTCCACATGTTGTGCATACTGTAAAGCCAGCTGACTGTGAACTGTGTCTGGAGAGGTATAGATGTCTCTTTTGGCCACATTGTTCCACCTGCAGCTCTCACTCTCTCCATGGCATGTGAGCAAAGTCCCAGGTCATTTCTTATTGTTTCATTGGAGTGGGCGAAGAACTGGCATAAGAAAGGAAACAACTTAATACAGTTTGAATCTCAGATTCATTGCTTAGCAGAACTGGATATAGACTTTGCTGCCAGTGGGCACTCTTTTTTTTTTTTTTTTAATAAAATCACCTACAAAAAGACCAAGGACTATGAAAAGATTTGTTTAAGAGTCTGTCATTTTTACCCAATCATCTTTTCATGTATGTGTGTGTTGATATGTGTGCGTGTGTGTATGTATGTGGAAGCTAGAGTTTGACTCTGGGTGTTGTCTTGGTATTTTGATGTTAACTTGGCACAAACTAAGCTAGAGTAATTTCAAAAAGAGGGAGGCTTAATTGAGAAAAAGCCTCCATAATATTGGCCTACAGGAAAGTCTGCTTAAATTTTTCTCAATTAATGATTGATGCAGGATAGCCTAGCCCACTGTGGGTTTTGCCACCACTGGGCATGTAGTCCTGAGTACTATAAGAAAGCAGATAGAGCAAACCATGAGAAGAATCCACTAAGCAGCTCCCATCTATGGCTTCTGCTTTAGTTCCTGCCTCTAGGTTCCTGCCCTGACTTTCCTCAATGATGGACTTCAATGTGGAAGTATAAGATGAAATAAACTCCTTTTCCCCCCAAGTTGCTTTTTTAGTCCTGGAATTTTATAACAGCAATCGAAACTCTAACTAAGACAAGCATCGTTTCTCAATTGCTGCATGCTTTATTTTTTTAGACTGGGTCTTTCAGTGAACACAGAGCCCACTTACTCAGCTAGACTGGCTGGCTAGCAAGCCCCAGGAATCCTCTGAGTCTGCTTCTCTGGCACTGTGATTACAGGTGTGCAACACACATACACACACACACACACATACACACACACACACACACACACACACACACACACACACACACACACGTGTATGAGTGCTGGGACTTGGAACTCATATTCTCATGCTTGAATGGCAATCATTTTACCAGCCGAGCCACTGTATATCAGTCCTTTAGACATCATTTAAACATCTGGGATGCTGCAAACTATAAGCAATGGAAATGATCATTACATTATTTTCTTTGAATTTAATGGTTCTGAATGGAAGAAAATGTTTTATTTTATTATTTATTTATTTTTGCTTTTGTGAGACACTGGCTGTGAAGCACAAGGTCACCTCCAGTTCATGATCCTTCTGTCTTGGCCTCTTGAGTGATGAATTGTAGGTATGTGCCACTATTCCCTGCTTAAAAGTGAGATAAAAGATCAACTAATATACTAGTCTATGCTTTGGTAGTTACAAATGGCAAAAACCGACTTAAAATTGTTTAAGCGATCCTGGAACTATGGCAGTGAAGACACTTTTATAAATCTGGTCAAATCTGGACATAAAAACAGAGCATAGAGACAGCAAAACTGAGAGCCCACTGATAGTATTTTTGTGAGTGTGTATGTGTTTGGTGTGCATGTGTATGTACATGCATGTGGAGACAGAGGACAGCCTTGGATGTCTTTCCTGGGCACTGTCCACATTGCTTCTGAGATTCTGTCTCTCATAGGCGTAGATCTCATTTAAGTATGCTAAGCTGGTCAGCGATCCCCAGGGATCCTCACATCTCTGCCTCCCTAGCATTGGGATTACATGCATGTGCACTACCATGCATGCCTTTTTCTCCTCTCCCACATGGGACTGAACTTGGGTTCTTGCGCTTGTAAGCCCAGAGCTTCAGTTACAGAGCTATCTCCCCAGTCCCTGTGGACAATATTTACAGAAAACTTGGAGGTAAAGTAATTTTTATGAATAATAATAAAAAAGTACACAAGTACAAAACACCCAACCCCAAAGCTTCAGTGTCAGTATCTCCATGGGAGAAAGCAGGAGAGCTCCTGGCAGCCAAATATAAGACAGCCAAAGCCCAATGGAATTCATCTGATGTGATCAGACAGTCTGAGAACCACACCTAGTCTTTGTAGGGGTTCTGACTAATCCAACATAGGACTCAAGGGATGTGCTGAAGGGCCTGAAACAATGCAGCCTCCATAGTCACTTTTAAATCTGGCTTGAAAAGATGCTGCCCAGCATAGACTCATTTTGAGGATGTACAACTTGGAACAAAAGGAAAATGGGTCAGTCAGGGCAGAAGAACTGAGCGAAGAGAAGAGAGGCCCGTGGAGAGGTGAGAAAGGGGACACACCTAGGCAGCATGAGGAGGCGAGCTTCCGTATTTCTGTACACCACAGAGGCACTGCAGAGGAGGGACCTATGGCAGTTATTCGACCCTTGCCACTTTCACTTTTCTACAGCTTCAGGGGAAGGAATTTCACATAAAATGCACTTATAAAAAATATAAGGACAAATTTCTTGCAGTTACTACAAGAAAAGAGATGAAGGATCAGAGTAACATTCTTAAAAAAAAATTAAATGCCTCAGAAAGATATGTTCACAGGCCAGAGACAATCGGTCCTGTGGTTTGAGTAAATTGGTGTTCCTCAAGGGTTACTGGGACCAAAGGCTTCAGTCCTAGGGAGGTGGAATGTCTGGGAGGCTGAGTGGAAGGTCCTAAGTTGATCTCAGAGACTACAGGGTCACACTAGTCTTCTCACTTCCTATTTGTCATGTAAGCTCTTTGCATATGTGTGCCTCTGTCACATGCGATGGAGCCAAGAACCAAGCCGCTGTCGGCAGCATACCCTTGATCCTCCAAAACTTAGCTTAGCAAACCTTCCTTCAGCTATTTCATTGCAGAAATGCAAATTGAACTAACACAAACAGTAACTACTTCTAAACAGACCCCAAGGGAAAACATATAAAAGAATAAAAGAACCTGAAGAACCCAAGTGGCTCAGGACGTTTGCTGCCCCCCCCCCACAAAAATTCTCTTATAAAATCTTCCAGTGCGATCTTGAAGAACCCCCCACCCTCTGGTGTTTCCCCTCTCCCTAGCCCTGTTCTGTGTCCCCACAACCCTGGACTGCCCCCACTCCAGCCCAGTGCCACCCAGTCTCATTTCTGGCCATCCACTGCTGCCATGGCTTTCTGCTGGGCGCCCCATTGTGATGCACCAGGGGGGCACGTGGTCTGTGGGCAGTGGAGATGATGGAAGGAGTTGGGGGAAGAGGGTGGGATCCAGGGCGTCTGGTGGTTGGGTGGGGATGCGGCCCAGAAGGGGCTGAAGTTTGCAAGGGGGGGGGGAGAGCAGGCCACAGCTGTCATGGGGCTGTTGCTGTTCTGCAGGCCCTCAGAGGCTGGAAGCTTGGAGAGCATGGCTAGTGCATCAGGGAAGTTGGGTGGTGTGGCAGGGGTGTTGCTGGGAGTACACATCATCTGAGGGTTGTGGTGGCTGTTGGGACTGTTGCTTTCCTGGAAGAACGCGCTCAGGGCGGTCTCGAACTGCCACTGTGCCGCCTGCAGCAGCTGCTGCGCCTGGTCGGCAGCGCAGCCCGTGGCCAGCATGAACTGGTTGATCATGACCTGGTGCCGCAGCTCGTCCATGTGGGAAAGTTTTTCCTCTTTTTAATATATAAATATAATATATATGAATATAAATTTAATGTATGCGCGAGTGGGGTCTGCACACCAGGGTTGTTGGAATCGGAAGGGAATGGCCTCAAAAATCCCTTGACAGCACCTCTCCCTCTGCCCAATTTGGGGGAACAGACGGGTGCTCATAGTCAGATGGAGTGAGCTTGCAGTCAGGTGGCTGTGCTGCCTCCTTTAGAAGCCACATCAGCCATTAGGAAGTGTCCCCATCCCCAAGGGAGGTCCGAGAAGGGTCCTGTTGGAATCGTGGACTTTCCTACCCCATCACCGGTAGATGGAGTTTTCATTTCTGCTGGTGGTGGCCTCTCAGTGGCGCCGAAACTTGTCACCCTGACCCAAGCTGGGTGTGCAAAGCTGGTAGGACTGAAGAGTTGGCTGACCTCTTAGTGGATACTTGGCTGTCCGGTCCCTTACTGTCCTGGCTGTCCTGCAGGTCCCCAGCCTCTCTGTCCAGCATCAGAGGACGACAACTTCGGAGAGCCTACCTTTGGATTTGAGTTCCTAAATTAAAATCACATCTCACCAGGGTGCAATTTTAATTTAAAAACTTTAAAAGACTTTTCTAGCAACAACAACAACAACAAAGAATAAAAGAACCAAGCTTAGCAAAAAACTCAGAAACGGTGTGTGATAGAGTGACAAAATTGATGACAGAAAATGGCTTTTCAGAAACAAAGACTTAAAAAAAGGACATAGGGGCTGGAGAGATGGTTCAGTGGTTAAGAGCACTGGTTGCTCTTCCAGAAGACCCAGGTTCAATTCCCATCACCCACATGGCAGCTCACAATTGTCTATAACTCCAGTTCCAAGAGGTCCAACAACCTCTTATAGGCAGACCAATGTACATAAAATAAAGAAATTGTTTTTATTCAGGGAAGGTCGTCCTCTTCAACCGAATGAGCAGCCCGCCCAGCTGCCATATCAGCCGAATCAACCCTGGTGATCAATGGGGTGACAGATGTTGAAGCCAAATCGCCCTCATGTGTAAGAAATCATTTTTAAAAGAAGGAAATAAGCATAGCAATACTACCTTAAGGCATGGATGTAATCAGCCACTTTTAACCTCCAGGACAAGCACGGGGGCAGGAGAACTAAAGTGACTGATAGCTTGTGTGATGAAACAACAGACTCGTGGAAAAGGATTAGGAGTAAAGAATGAAGACTGTACCATGGCTCGTTGCTCAATGGACTCAACCAAGTGATCACCTGTGTTTGTGTATAAGGAATACGCAAAATCAGCATATCATGATATATAAATAAGTACTTAGCTCTCTGGGAGTGCAACCTCCTGTAGCAGGGAAATCAGGGTTAGTTTTTTGTTTTTTGTTTTTTTCTTTTGACTTCTGCATATTTTTAGGAGTTATGCAATGTGGGTTAAAATTATTTGGGGAAAAAAATCTCTGAGTGATAGATTCATAAATGGTTCCCAAGTGGGCCATTCTCACCCTTTAAACCTGACCTTAGCTATATTTAACTTGGTTCTTTGTAACCCTTAGGGATTCTAGTTACAGCAGAAGAGTTTAGAAATTTAGAATGCTTTATGACTTATATAATAAAATGTTCCTGAGAATATGTAGTTAGCAAATAGGATTCTAGATTACACAGATATCCAAAACATTGCTGATCATTTATAGAACATTCATAATTTCCTCAAGAAGTATGTTCAAACATACAAACATGAAAGTGAAGAAACATTTCAAATTATAAGGAGCTGATTATCTGGCTACATTCTATTTACCATATAAAATTAAAATAAAAAGTCATTACATTAATGAAAAGTAATAAAAGTAAAATGAAGTATTTTAATAGGTCACAATGGCACAGCAGGCATCATTCTGTTTCACTACTGTATTTTTTTTAAATCTGAGAAGTTAGTATACATATGTAAACAGACAGAGATTGTATTGTTAGTAAGTACAGCTCGTTATTTTGAAATGTTACTTTGGACATCTAAGTGAACTATTTACTACCCCATACTTATAATTTTGTGGTTATATATTTAAAGTATATTCTTAGTAGTTTTTAAGTACCTAGGTCAATTTTCCTAACTATAGTCAACATGATGCCCAATTGATCTCCGTTCCTAACTTCCATCTCAATGCAGACTTAGATTCTTTGACCTCTATCTCCCCAATAATTCCTCTCCTTCTTTCTCCCTTCTGACTCCTGGTAACCACCATTCTATTCTCTGATTCTGTGAGTTTGACCTTTAAGAGCACACATGTAAGTAATATCATACAGCATTTATCTTTTTGTTGGAGCCTGTGCTGTAGAATGTCCTTTAGGTTCCTTCATGTTGTCACAAGTAACAGAATTCCCTTCCTTTATTCTTTCTGACTTGTATATGTGTATGTATAAGTATGTTGGCAAATGCATGGATTGATGTTGTGTGCAAGTGTGCACACATGTGTATGCATCTGGATGTAGAAGCCTTACATCTGTGTGCTAGTGTGCACAATTCGTGTATGTGTGTGGATGTGAGTGGATGTGAAACCCCGAGTTTGCCTTTGGACCCTTTCTCTATTGCTCTCTGCCCTATTAATTGAGGCAGGGTCTCTGAGTTAACCCAGAGTTCACCACTATGGCTGATCTGTCTATTTGGCTTGTTCCTGGGATGCCCTGCCTCTGTGTTCCTAGTAGTAGAATTCAGATGGCCACCATGCCCACATGACATCTGAGTGGCTTCTTAGGACAGGGATTCTGTCTTCACATTTACATGTTTACTTTAACATCTGAGCCACCTCCCCTTAGGCCAATGTCATTAAGACTGAAATGCAATCCTATCTGTGTGTGTGTGTGTGTATGTGTGTATGTGTGTATGTCTCTCTCTCTCTCTCTCTCTCTCTCTCTCTGTGTGTGTGTGTGTGTGTGTGTATGTGTGTATATATTCCTTTTTTTATCTTTTGATGGCCACTTGAGTTTATATCTTGAGGCTTATGTGTGATTCTACACTGAGCATGTAAGTATAGCTATCTCTTCAGTATACTGGGTGCTATCATTCTCATTATTCTCACTTTGTATGGGAATTTAAGGCATAGGAAAGCCATATGGTTGGTCAGAGAAACATGTAGGAAGTGAGGAACAGGGAATCAAATGCTGCATCTTAACTCTAGAACCTCTCTTTAAAAAACTAATACATAAACTTTTGTTGAAGTGATGTAGCAATAAGAGATATTAAATGAATACACCTGCCTCATAAACTATCTACATATCATTATTTCTCAACTTTGTCTTCATTCCTGACAAAAATGTACTTTAATTTGTATTTTTGAAAACTTTGTTTGTGATTTTTAATATGAGGTGGAGTCATGAGCTAAAACCATTTCAAGAATTTATTTACTAAATCCTTTTCTGTCCATATAAACTATGATACATTTGAAAGGTTAGCTGGCAACATTCAAGTCCTAGCATGATACAATTGGACATGTATTTGGTGAGAATCGATATTTTACAAACACATGAGCGTCATTGTCTTTTGACACCTCTAAAATGCTTTGTTAGCTGCTTTTCTCCCCACTAACAAGATTCTTAGGAGAAGCAATTTCAGGAAGCAGAGATTTGTTGGAGATCACGATTTCAGTGGGCTCAATCTGTCATGAATAGGCATGACAGCTAAAGTGACTCAGTTTTAGTGATCTGACTCCTTCTTTGGTGACAGATAAAAAACCTTCAAAGATTTACCTTTAGTGGCCTATGCTGGACAATTTGGCCTCATGGCCCTAACTAAGGTTTTATAACCTTCCCAAGTAGTAGCATCATCTGGGGGCCAAGTGCTTAAAAGGGGCCTGTGGATCTCCTGCGTCTGGAGTCAGACAATTGTGAGCCACCTTGTGGGGGCTAGGATTTGAATCCAGGTTCTATAGAGGAACAGATAGTGCTCTTAACTGCTAAGCCACTGATCCAGCAAGATATAAATGTAAATCACAAGGATCCCCGAACCTACACTGGCAATTTTTTTTTGTTGTTGTTCATTTTATGCATGGATCAAACAAAACAGCAACACAGTTGTTGGTTGTAAGATCTTGATACATATATACTAGCTTGGATGTTGTGTAAAATGATTCTTTGGGAGTGGGAGAGGGGAAGATTCTGAAGCACAAAGAGGAAAGAATGATCAATGAACTAGAATATGAGAAATCCTTAGGAGAAAATGTAATTTAGAATGCTGGGGTTTCTTTCTATTTACTCAACTCTTCTCAGTTTATCTGCACAAATAGTTTTCTCTCAACAAACTGTGTTGGCTTCACTATTATGGCCCTGAGGGCTGAGGAGAATCTCCACACCACACAGTAAAGCTGTGAATCTCCAGGAAAGTGACTCTCTATTTGATGGAGCTACAGGATAGCTTTACAGAAGCCACATAGCTGTAACATGAGTCTTTATGTTCAGAGTTAGGGACGGTCCCTAGAAGTTCCTGGAACAGTGTCAGGAAAGTAGGATGGGACCAGAAAATAAGAATTATGTTGTTGTTCACTATCAAAATGGAAAATAAAGCTGAGCATGGGGGCCAACCTGCTCTATAAAGCAAGTTGCAGGGGAACTGGAGTTACACAGAGAAACCCTAGCTTGAAAGAAAGAAGAAAAAGGGTAAATAAAAACAGATACTTAATATGTTGATTAAAAACTATATGTGAAAACATACATGTGACTTATTTGTTTAGTATGCTATAAATTAAATGGAGTGAGATTCAACATTTTAAGTAAAATGTTGGATGAATTTGGAAAAGGTAGGTCATCACAGCATCTTCAGAAGTGCCCCTGTATTCCCTTGAGACCAGCTTCCTGTTGAAGTTCCAGAAGTTTGTTAGGGACTCAGTGGAAAAGACATACTTCTTGAAGAAAATAAAAAATAGATGATAGAATGACCTCTTCTCTTATGGCCTATTAGCTGGAAGTTAAATGTTTTAGAATAAAGTCAATGACACAAGAGAGCAAGCAAGAATTAGAACCTT